TCCAAGGCATGCAACCTTGGCATCCGGCATATCAAAGTTACTATGACATACTGTTCCCCATTGACGCTGTTGATACGCCTCCATGATAACTAGTAGCATTCACTATAAAATACCGAGAAGCATGATCCACTGTTTTTGATATAAAGTAAAATTAATCAAGTCTAGGGGAAAATATTCGGCTATAGATTTTCAGGTTTTGTCTTTATCAATAATCTTTATCAGTTGAGATAAAGAAAGCAGCATCTCTTGCTAGTTTTAGAAATATTATAAAATATTTCTTCTTTAGAGTGATGATAGATATGCTTTAGAGTTATATTTTTTCAGATGTTTGGAATTATGCATTATTTATATAATGTTAGTACATGTTAGTATTAAATTATTTTCCTAATCTTCTTATAGGGTAAGTATTATATAGTGATAAGTGTAAGTTATATAGTTTCAAAGGGCAACTTGGATACTAGACAAGATGCCGAGCTGCTGAATTGCTAAATAAAGTCTAATTACTTACTCGAAACAATTGACAAGTTAAATATTGTTGTGTTGCAAGCTATATAGTTTCAAGATGCGAAAATCCAACAGTTTTGGTGAAACCTAGTTGGCGATATGCAACATTCGCTTCCTCCATGTACCAGCCATTAGTACACACTGTTCCCTCTAAGTTTGAAGTGTGATCGCAGCCAGGCACCTGTCCCCATCCATTGTGAGAACAACTTACAAGTGAGGCCTCTGAGCCTGAACATCCCATGCCGTTCAACCATACTTTTTCCGTCCCTCGTCCATACCACCAAGGCCCTAGAGTTTTGGTAAAGCCAAGTTGACGGCATGCAACCTTGGCATCATCCATATCCCAGCTACCATGACACACTGACCCTGGTATATAACTTCACAAGACCTATGTGGATATCCCCAGATTAGCTCTTCTGATTTATTTGAGATTTTCAAACATTATTTTGAAGAATATTAAATATATTTTCAAAGAAAAGATTCGCTCACTGTAATTACTAATCACTTCAAAAGAGGACAAACGAAAAGTCATACAAAATCATTTTCTGAAATTGTAAACGCATTCTTATTTGCCTTCGTTAGACATTGTACGGCTCTATGAATGTAATAGCAAAATTGTTTTTGATATAGAAGAGTATCTGAATTATATATCGAAATATGTTTTGCCGCAGGACTGAACATGTTACTTTCAAACCATATTAACTTGCTATTTCGGAATGGGAATTGACATATAAATGCTGTAACATATATTTGCATGCAACTAACTTGAAGACAAAACCAAATTTTGTTAAATCTTTTCAAATGGATGTATTTGTGAGAGTACGGAATATTAATGATAAAAACCTGCAACCTTGGCTACCTCCCTGTAACGAATACGTCTGGAACAAAGAACCAATGCATAATTTTCCCGAGTTATAATACAGACTATGAATACGAATAGCACACTACACCAGCATCATTAGTGTGATCGCAGCCAGAGTGAACACTTCCCCATCCATTGAATACAGCCTCCAAGTGAGGACTCTGAGCCTGGCACTGCATGCTGTATGTAAGAGTTATTACCGAGAACGGAGGCAATAAGCCATATACATCTCGAGGGCGGCAGGCCCGAGTAATGTATAGGCTTATTGCCGATGTGCGAGGTAATTAAGTATTTTATTTATCAATTGAGGTTTTCTATCAAATTTTGCTCATTATGAATGCGAAGTCTATATATAGTTATTAACCGGGTTAATAACTAACTAYATATTGACCTCGCATTTATAATGAGGGTTATAACAAAAATAAAGCCTTGCGAATAACAAAGAAAACCGTGTCAATTGAGAAAGAAATCCATATTCTACCCGTTCCATGTCCATTCCAGCAAGGTCCTAAAGCTTTGGTAAAACCAAGTTGCCGACATGCCACTCTGGCTTCGTTCATATACCAGTTACCAGCACACACTGTTCCCCACTGATCCTAGTGGTACACCTCAACGACACTTTTGGGCAAAATGATAAGAAATGGGAACAACACTCTAAGCCTCTACATCTTAATGCAGCTTTGAGGATCCTTAACAGTAAAGTTGACAAGTGCAAGTGCAAGTGGTTGAAAAGTCATAACAGCTGGTCAAGAGCATGTTGTAGTCGCACTTAGCATAAAGACATCATATTGGAAGTCTAGAATATTGACTTTGATTATGAAGGAACATATGCTTTCTTGTATTACRACTTGCATACATAAGTAAACGACACCAGCATCATCATCGTGATCGCACCATGGCACAATATTCCCCCATCCATTGTGAGTACAGCTTTCTAATTGAGGTCTCCGAACCCAAACACCGCATGTCGTAAARCCATATTCTATCAGTCTCATGTCCATGGTAGGAATATCCAACAGCTTTGGTAAAACCAAATTGATGGCATGCCAGTACAGCTTCCTAGTGAGGTCTCCGAGCCTGAACACCGSATGTCGTAAAGCYATATTCTACCAGTCCCATGTYCAGGGTAGGAATATCCAACAGCTTTGGTAAAACCAAGTTGASGGCATGCAACCTTGGCATTGTCCATATCCCAGCTACCATGACACACTGTTCCCCATTCACTCCGGTAATAAACCTCCACAGGACCTATATGGATAGCACTRGCTTAGCTCTTCTAGTTCATTTGAGATATTCAAACTTATTAATTAGAGGAATATCAAATATAGTTTTAAAGAAAATATTCGTTTACTACAACTACTAATCACTTAAAAAGAGGACAAACGAGAAATGATACCAAATGATACCACGTACATTCTTATTTGCTTTCTATAGACATTGTAATGCTCTATGAATGTAACAGCAAAATTGTTTTTGATATAGAAGAGTATCTGAATTACAAAATATGTTTCGTCGCAGGATTGAACAATCTTGTTACTTTTGTTATTTTTGAATTGGTGTAGATATATGACGGTTTCAACATAATTTGTTACCACTAACCTGAGGATAAAAACAACTTTTTAACAAGCGAGAGTACTGATTATTGATGGTACGAAAAACAAATGACACCAGCATCATTAGTGTGATCGCAGGCAGAGTGAACACTTCCCCATCCATTGTGAGTACAGCTTCCAAGTGAGGCCTCTGAGCCTGAACATCTCATGTCGTATAGCCATATCTTACCCGTACCTCGTCCATATTCCCAATATGCTATAGTTTTTGAAAATCCAAGTTGTCGGCATGTAACTTTAGCATCTTGCATATCCCAGTAACCATGACATACTGTTCCCATTGACAAATGGGTATCCACAAATGAAAATCTGTCTCATATCTTAACACTCTGCACAGAGTTTCTGGTAAAATCTCAATCAGTTTTACATTGCAATTTGTATTTATCAACTATTAAGTCTAATACTSTGTCATAACGAAAAGGATTCCTAAATGAAGGATCAGACATATATTTTCCGGATTGACATTGGTGATTATTGCAGTGAGAGCCAACGTTTCCCCATCCCCAGTGAGAACAGCTTCCAAGTGATGTCTCTGWGCCTGAACATCCCATGCCGTACAACCATATTTTACCCGTCCCTCGTCCACCGTACCAACGACCTATAGTTTTAGTAAAACCAAGTTGACGACATGCAACCTTGGCATCATTCGTGCCCCAGTTACCATAACACACTGTTCCCCATTGACCCTGGTAATATATACCTTCGCAAGATCAATATTTCATAAAAGAAACTTTTAATGGAATGACTATGAAACAGGAAAAGCGATTTTGAAACATCMTTTTTCTAAATATCATTCTTAGTACCTGATGATACATTGTGTATTCAGAATTGTCTCAGGCAAAATCCATTTTGCGAATTACACAAACTTCAACAAATATTGAATACATTTAATATTTACAAATGGTAATTTATATTTTTCTTTTAATGGTTTATAGTTACAGTCATGCCAGGTCAAGCGCGCGCATCCCCAAAAGAGTGCATTATATTATTCATTCAATTATATAATTTGTTGAACCACTATTTGTTTAAGAATGCATTCTATTTGAAAATATGTAAACGAATATTCAAAACAAGGGCTGTGAAAGTACATGTACATAATCTTGGTACGTTATTAACGACAAGCGTGGTATCCCTGGCAAAAAATTGTTTGTATTTTTTAAAACTTTGCTGCCCGTGCAATGAAAAWAAATTCTAACCATTTCTTTTGAYGCCATCTTGCTTCATTTCTTAATAATTTTTTAAAAACGTGGACTTCTTCTAAAACTTATACTGATCACAGCATTATACGTGACATGCTAAAACAACAAGAAAATGCATCAAAYCAACCAGCATCTCATTCTTTGCGGTTAATTGTAACTAGAGTCAACATTTCTGACATGCAGCCTTGCCTACCTCCCTGTAACAAGTCTGGAGCCACAACATAATTTTGCCGAGTTTTAATACAGACTATTTATACGAAAAAGCACACGACACCAGCATCATTAGTGTGATCGCAGCCAGAGTAAACACTTCCCCATCCATTGTGAGTACAGCTTCCAAGTGAGGTCTCTGAACCTGTACACTGCATGTTCCACAGCCATATTCTATCCGTCCCATATCCATTCCACCAAAATCCTAGAGCTTTGGTAAAACCAAGTTGCCGACATGCCACCCTGGCTTCGTCCATGTACCAGTTACCAGTACATACTGTTCCCACTAACCGTGGTTGTACACCTCAACGACACCTATATGAGAACGACACCTSAACGACACCAAATACGATAAGAAATGTAAATAGCACAATGAGCCTGTACCTGGCATCTAATGCAACTTTACTTTATCCGTACCTCACCGATCGTGCGAAACTCAGCTTTATTTTTGTGTACCATGTACCAGTCATTATAACATACTGTTTATTATTTACAATTGTGGTACACCTTGACAAGACTTTTATTGACAAACAAATTTTAGTTACTTTTTCAATTTAGGTTTTTTTCCAGCAATATACGTTTTAGATCGAAAAATACTGTATTAAACTTTAAAGGGATGAATCGCTCAAACCCATTTTTAATCAAATGATTTTAAACTACAAAACGGGACAATGAACAATTTTTAAGTTATTTTAATTTTTGCGCATGACTTCACTTGCATCGATTTCGTTACAAAATAACTTATAGCTTTATTAAAATAAAATTACAAATTTTGTGTTTATGGCAGTCTATATAAATACCAATGTATAGAAATTGTTGTAGTTTGGTTGTAGAATAGGTTGTAGTTTTCAAACCGTAATACGTGCTTTTACAAAAACGTCTGAGATAAAGACTCACAGAGGTGAGTGGCAATATGGAGTATTGTAGGAATCTAAACTACAAAACAGGATAAGCGAGAAATTAAAAAAAATCATGATCAAACGAAACTACGGCATATTGACAAATTAAACAAGCTTATAAAACACYAAATAGCCGTTAAGCCTCCTAYCAATCCAAAGTGGGTTGTTAATATGTCAAGTAGAGATCTAACCGATAGCGATAAGTCAGTTTTATCCAAAGGATTAAACTTTGCTCCTGCACCACGGAAATTACCCGTTGAGAAMTTTATCGTAGAGGTTGAGTCTTCAATATCTAACCTGAGTGCTGAGGCTAAGTCCGAAGTAAGAACTAAGGTAACTAATGTTTTAGCCAACGCAACTGTGCCTGATGATAACATGACTAAAGAAGAAAAAAGATCWATAAAGTCTCTACGTGATGATAAGAGCATCATCGTCTTGAARGCAGATAAAGGAAATTCTACAGTGGTTATGGATCGCATTGATTAKGATAATAAGATCGAGACCATGTTAAGTGATACAAAGACATACCAATTGCTACCTTCTGATCCAGCTAAGTCTTGCGAGAAGAAGATGAAAAATCTACTCGCCACCATGAAAGGAAGGTTTACTGACAAGATATACAGAACAGTATGTACTACAGATGGATTAACGCCTAGGTTTTATGGTCTACCTAAGATTCACAAGGAAGGCATTCCACTTAGACCTATTGTTAGTCGCATAGGATCACCGACGTACCACTTGTCGAAGTACTTGGTCAGACTTCTTTCCCCATTGGTTGGCAATACGCAACAACACTTGAAGAACAGCAAAGAGTAGGTAGCGATTGCGCAGGACTTGACTGTCAGTAAAGATGAAGAACTAATGTCATTTGATRTAGTCTCATTATTTACTTCAATTCCAACTGACATAGCTGTAGCCGCTGCGAACGATAGGCTGAAAAAAGATGCTAGTCTTCCTGAGCGCACTAGTCTTACACCTGTTGATGTTACTGCTTTGTYGTCTTTTTGTCAAAAATTCTACTGAGTTCAGTTTCAAGAGTAAGTACTACAAACAGATACATGKGACTGCTATGGGTTCGCCTATTTCTGTATGTGTGGCTAATTTAGTCATGGAGGTAGTTGAATCCAGGGCGCTTTCAACATTCTTTGCTACRCCACGTGTCTTTAAAAGATACGTCGATGACACTGTTTGCATTATCAAGAAAGACCAGATCAATGTTTTTCATGWTCATTTAAACCAACAAGACCCGCATATTAGGTTTAATATGGAAAGATACTCTGACGCGGGACTTCCGTTTTTAGATACTTTAAATAGAGTGTCTGAAGATGGTGGAATTAAGATTTCAATCTACCGCAAGAAGACGCACACCGACAGATATTTGTCATACGACAGTCATCATCCTTTGAACCACAAAGCAGCTGTAGTTCACACTCTTGCTTATCGTAAAGAAACTCTGCTTAGTGACCAGGATTCAAAAGAGAAGGAGGAGGATCATCTCACAGAGAGTCTAACTCAAAATGGCTACCCTTTGAAATTCATCAAGAAACAATCTTGCGTGCGTAAAAAGCACACAGAGAACGATGAAACGGAAGATCCCAAAGGCTTTGTGGTGTTACCGTATKKGAAAGGAACTAYTGAGAAGATCACTAGAATTCTTTCACGCCATAACATCARATGTTGCATGAGACCAGAAAGAACTCTGCAGAATGTCATATCTAGAAGCAAGTTGGAGTAATTTATTCCATTCCTTGCGATGAATGTAGTATCAAGTACATCGGGGAAACAAGCAGAGCTCTTGGAACTAGGTGCAAAGAACATCAGGCRGCTGTGCGTCTGAACAAGGCAGAAAGACCAGCCTTAGCCCAGCATGCACATGAAACGGGGCACTCAATCCAATGGAATAACATTTCAATCGTTAAAAAAGAACAAAGATGGAACCAAAGAAAGTGGCTGGAASCATGTGAGATATCACAGCAAAAGAACATTATTTTTAATAGAGACAGTGGCAGGATTTTGCCAGCAAATTACATAAATCTTTTGTGATTTTCAATGCTCGTGCTTTCAGGTTTGTGCGCKCGATTCTTTTGCTCGCGCATATGTACATTACGTTTGATCGCGTAGGTTTTGTTAATATTGTAACGTATTTTAGTTCCTCTGAGGATGACCGTGTCGGTCGAAAGCTAAGGAAAATATAAAATWATTTTTAAAGGTTGATGAGTCAATTTGAGTTTTATTTTAAAAAATCATTTCGCAAACATGTCTAGTCCATTCTTGGTACCTGATAATTAGTTTAAATAAAGAAACACAATTATCTGGTAAAGTTTTTCCATTTTGTCTATATTAGTCATCAGCACCCGTTTGTACGAAGACTTGTTAGCGCTATCCGACGGATAAATCTTATCCAGTGGATAAATGTATTGGCTAACAGCATCGACTTATCCACTGGATAAGGATATATTTGTCGGATAGTGCTATACACCCTTCGGTAAGACCGGCCCCAGAATTCAGAATTCGGCTGCTCCGTGCAATAAAAATTTAAAAAATTGTTTAAGATTTAATTTTTTTGGGATGAAATCTTGCTTCATTCCTTGATAATTTTAATAATAAGTGGACCTGTTGTRGGACGTCTGTTAATCAACATYTATTCAGTGCTGTCGTGTGACAACCACATAGCTGTCAAATCACTACCAAATCTTATGATGCATAACAAACTAAAACAAACTAGAGTCAACATTCGCGACAAGCAACCTTGACTACTTCCCTGTAGCAAATAAGTGGATTTAACGAACAGAGATTTTTTATTTTTGCGAGTTAGAATACAGACTATTTATCATACAGGAAAACCGGTTAATAGGTTTTTCAAATCCAGTACCAAAACAATGCACACTACCTTTTAATCTGTGAAAACCTGGTTTGGAATAAATAAAAATGACGCACTTCCGTAACAAACTCAAAATTCTTCTATGTTTGCCAACTTTTTAGCCTAACTAAAATGCACTCTACAAGAAAACCATTACTCGCACGCCAAGTTTAAACCGTGACGAAGAGCCTTTGTATGAATAAAGAATATAGGGGAAGGCCTAATTTTAATATTTTGGCAACAATTTTACTACGGAAACAAAGGTAAAATTTGAAATAAAAACGGTTTTATGCACGCGCGTGATTTGCTGATGTAATTTATTGGTATGTCCTCCTATCTCCCCGGCTCTAGACCAATCATAAAGCGAGAAAATTCACAAACTTGGTAAAACAATAAGTTTCTCCAAAGGAACGTGCAACAATAATGTAAATAAGAGAATAGACGATTTTATATGTTATTAGATTTCATTATTGTTGTTGCTGTGCTGTGCTCTGTGCGAAGAWTCCTTTCGCTGTTTTTAGTCTTGGGCTGCGAGGTGTTCTTGATGTAGCGCATTGCACGGCGCTAATTTCATAATTTTCATAATTATAGGTATATAAATATCAGAATTTTCAGCTTTTCATATTCAGTTATTAATTTGTTTTCTATTTATTGATTTACATCTTAGGGTTGGGTTTTATTCCTATATTTTTTACGTACTGTAGATAGGAGGTCCACATCAGCTCTTAGCGGTCATTTTAATCTCCTGACCTTATGTTTGCAAATAAAGTATGCATGTATGTAAGTATCGAAACTAACGACACCAACATCAACAGTGTGATCGCAGCTACCAACATTTCCCCATGCCCAGTGAGAACAGCTTCCAAGTGTAGTTTCAGAGCCCAAATATCCCATGCCGGTTARCCATACTTTACCCGTCCCTCGTCCATAGTGCCAATATCCTACAGTTTTGGTAAAACCAAGTTGACGGCATGCAACCTTGGCATCATTGATATCCCAGCCACCATRACATACTGTTCCCCATTGACCCTGGTGTTACACCTCCATGATACCTAGTATAAAATACCGAGAAGTTACATTTTTATTTTGTCAAATTTTTGCGTGTATGGGATATGGAGAGGAAGGGGAGGACTGCAGCACCCCTGATGCGTGTAACAGCTTCTTCGACAATTTTTCGCGCAACACCTACCCAGAATGCAATTCAAGGACAAGGCTGAAGTCAACAAACAAGATGGCGGCGGTAATTGAAGAAGACGAAAATTTGTGAGATGTTGATGAATTGTTAGTTGACCAGAGCCGCTTAGATGATGCAGCACGTCTGAAGTTAATATCGTTCATCAAAGCAAAGCCTTGTCTGTGGTCTCCACATGACAACCAAACAAAAGATGTAAAAAAAACAAGCTTTAAAAGAGGTCGAGGAAGTGTTTCAATTTGAACACACTGTTTGTTTTGATTCGTCACACTGCGTCAAATYGTCGTGTGTAACATGTTCAATTCGTAGGAATGTTGCGCGAAAAAACGGCTCGTGTAACATATATTAGCAGTTGGCAACGCGTATCGCAAAAAATCGACGCTGAAAATCTTCGCCTATAACATCACCTTAAATAAAGTTTACTTACTATAAACAAAGCATACCACACCTGCACTTAATTGGTGACTATTGCAACCAGAGCCAACGCTYCCCCATTCTTCCAAATAACGAATCCAGCCATACTTTAACTGTACCTTATCCAAAGTTCGAAAATTCAACAGTTTGTAATGWCCCTGGTGGCACATTAGACAACTAGACCTGTACATCAATGATGCACAATTACAAGAGTGTTTGTATCTTAATGAATTCAGATTATTTAACTTCTTGGTTTGAAGACCCTTACATGGGTAAATAMTTAGCAATTATTCGCGATTCTTCRAGCGGCGAGGTAAATATTCTCCATAGTTCACTGAGCCTGAGGCGAATAACTGTTTTAGCATATACCAACTTGTGTACAGAGTAACTTATTTTTATATACAATAATTCAATAAAAACAAACAAACAGAAACTTTTAGTTTGCGTGACAAATTCACGCAAAACTTTTAGCAAAACGTTTAGGCCATACTTCTTTGCCTTTTGAGTATTGATAGGAATGGCATTTACTTTCATTTCTTCAATTTCCTCATCGGAAATTGTAGCAAAACGATTGCCGGCAGATGCATTTTGTTGCCGACTCAATATTCCGAGATTYAGAGGTGAATATCGTACAATATTCACCTCCAATTAACCAATGAGCGCGCGCGTTCTTAGGAAGTACACAAGTTGGTATACGCTAAAGTCGCATATTTCGCGATTTTGTGAATTTGAACGAAATGTTTTGGTAACTGTACATTATCGTCCATCAAACGAAGCTCCGACAGCTTTGGCAAAACCTAGTKGACGACATGTGACCTTGGCATTTGACACATCCCAGTCATCTTGACAGACTTCACTCATTGCCTTTTATGTTCCTTTTTCAATTAGCGTTTTAGTTACTGTATATATTTACCTATACTTGCCTACATTCTTGTCTTAAATTCTATTAGTTTAAAGTTTTCTATTATTCTAAAGGTTTCAATGCCGAAATAACTAAATTTACTTGTTCATTCGATAAATACCAAGCCGTACATTTTATATGATAACACGATCTTCAAAGTTTCTGGTAAAAGCGAACAAATGTAATTGTCGTTTGTCATAACAAGCCGCAAGCCCGTTTTTTTTGGCGATAAGCGGAATTGAAATCCGCATACTTGTGGTGGGCGAGGTGTTTGTGCCACAGCAGGGTATCCACCTTAGACCGAAGCAGTGTTTACTTTAAGATTGTATTAGAGTGATTATGTTGCTCTGCTATCCTCTGCCGGTACCTCCATGGTTAACAGCCGATTTTAATGAATTCGATCGCTGTAGATCGTTACTAAATATACTGGACAGCTAATGGAATCTACACGATGCTATTTTGATCATGAAATTGATCTATGTTGTTCGAAATRTGMCGTCGAATGGTCAGCGTTTGGTAATGTACAACATGATTCTCGGCTCAAAGSTCACATTTTCGATCTAGCAGAAAATTCCAGGTAGATTATGGTACAGCAATGTTTCAAGAAGAACCTTTACTTAGTGTTTGATGGTATTGATCCAGGAATTTAGARTATARTTGATGATATAYGATCGTATTCTAGGCCAAACGTCTAATAATATAAAATGKCGCGAAAACTGAAGTCTGGCAACAAATTCGATTACGTCCTATTTAGAGATGCTCTTTCTGTCGAATACGTCAAAATTATAGCTATAGAAGATCCTTCACACTCGTGCATGCCAATTTTGAATATATAGCCTCAGCTTTTATGATAAGACGTTCTTTAAATTTGACAATGAATGCTGCATTGTTGCTGCATATGTTCCCGCGCAAATTAGTTATATTTCTGTAATAAATTTTTAATACATAGCTAGAAAATGGAACCCTCTCTCCTTGCTTTCTCAGGCGGCTCGCCCGAAAGCAACAGAATT